GCCGTATAGTGGAGGGCTCCGGAAATTTCGACCACCAGTGGTTTTTAGGCGTGCACCCAAATCTGAGCACACGGGCCCTACAACATTCCCGCCTCCATCGGAAATGCAGCCACCGCAGCCGGGATTCGATCCCGCGACCTGCGGGTCAGTGCGTTACACATTACCGCATTGCAAAATGAATCCGTCTCACTCCTTATACTACACTTAATGTATCAAAGGAGTAGGAGTCACGAGCGCCGCAACAGCGATTGAGCAATCGATGCTGGCGCGGAGGAACACCCTCGCGAACGCGCTACACACTAACCAAGCAGATGCCAAGACTGAGGCTAATATGAACTGCCGCTTCGATGGCGCAGTATTGAGAAACACAGTATACGCATGTTTCAGCTGGGGGGCAGTGCGCAATAATAGGTGGACAACGGCGATACTTTATCCTCTCAAACTAATGAAGTCGATCCCTCTCTCGGCGACGAGTACCACGCTTGGCTGCTGCGGCCTGCCCACGACGAGCGAGAAGAAGGCACGCGCCGCGCCGGCCGCCTCCGGAGAGGAAGAAGACGAGAAGGGGGCACCGGCGGGGCGATTAGCGGCCGGGCAGCAAGACTGGGGCTCGTTACGCAAAGAGGGGCGCCCCCGAGACGAGCGGCTTCTGCGAACGAGGCACCCACATGCCGGCCCACCGGTTGCGAAAACGCCGCCACCTTGCATGTGCCCGCAGCAGACGACCCTCGACCGCTGCCTGGCAGAGGCTACCGGCGCCCCATGTACGGGACCCGTGAGGCGACTGCCGGAGAGCAGCTTGGCAAGGAACATGCGTCTACTGAACGTCCCTCTCGAAGACACTCGCAGCAATGGTCTAGTATGGTTAGGTACTGTGTTCGACTGCTCGCCTGGAGGTCGCGGGATCGAACCCAGGTCGCGGCGACCGCCTTTCAGCGGAGGCGAAGCGCTAGAGATATGTACAAGGGGGGGGGGGGGGGGGCTAAAGAAATTTTAGGCCACGCTGCCATAAGAATACATGGGAGAGTGGCATGGCAACTTTTGATCCTCCTCATTCCCCTTGTACTTGGCTTTATGTGCACGTTAATGTCACCAGATGGTAGAAATTTCCGGAGCACTCCACTATGGTGACCCCTATGACCATAACGCGGTTTTGGCACGTAAACCTAACAATTATAACTATTACCTTCGGAGATGGCAGTAACCCCCGTACACACGGTCGAACAGAAGCAGATGCTCTGAGGAGGCTCATTATGAAACGTACCGCAAAATCCACAAGCGACTTCAGTAAAAAAATTGTCTATTTTGTGTGTGGAGGGGGGAGGCCAGGGCCGCTTGTGGAGGCATGAACGAATATTGCTGACTGTGGTGTCGCACCAAAATCCATGAGGCTCGAAGAAAAGCCAGACCAGAAGCACAAGAAAAAAAATTTCAAGGCGAGAACCGACGCATTGTACGTTGACGCGACCACATACAGAGAGCACTCCGGGACTGTTGTAAGCATTGTTGATCACCAACTTAGGGAAGTCAATAGTGCTTCGATCAAAAGCAACAACATCCTCGAGGCTGAGGTAGTAGCGATCGCACTCGCCATCACACACCAGAGCGAAGAGTCTACTACAGAAATAGTTACTGACTCGCAAGAAGCGTGTCGACGGTACAGCAGTGGACGCATATCCAGTGCTGCCATCCGCATACTCAAGGGAAGAAAAATCAACTTCTCGAGCTGCTCCATTACGTGGACACCAGGCCATGAAACTGTGACAGGGAACCAGCGTGCCGACGCCATTGCCCGAGAATACGCCGACCGGGGGGGGGGGGGGGCGCACAATGACGAGGAACTAGCCCACAGTTACTAGGCGCTATGGAGCAATTTTAGAACACCAGAGAGCCCTGAGAAGAATATACCCCCCTCCCCACAAAGACCTCAGCAGAGAGCAGTCGGTTGCCTGGAGACAGCTGCAGACTAATACGTACCCCAATCTCAGTCTTCTGAGTAAAATCTATACGGGAATATACTCCAACAAATGCCCGCTATGCAGAGAACCCCCCACATTTTACCACGCGACATGGACCTGCCAACAAACACAGGTAGTTCCAAGAAACTGTACACCAACACCGGAGCAGTGGCAGGCTGCGCTGTCCTGCTCTAAGCCCGAAGAACAGCTCGAGCTGATCGACAGAGCTTGCAAGATGGCAAAGGCCACAGGGGTCCTGGACTGAGGGCTCCACCTTCACCGGAAAAAAATATTTGTAATAAAGTTTTGCATTCATTGCGGTGTCGCAGGCCACACGCGTTTCGACATAAGATGAATTGGAAGGATGCTTGCTCAGTCGAAAGGTATTGCGCAGCGTCTGTTTCAGAGGCAGCCCTACTAAAGTGCCACCGAGGAAACTTTGCTCTCGTCATTTCAATGCGAATACAATACACAGTGCGACAGTCGATCGAACCGTACAGCATAATTACCTTCCATTTATTCTCACAGTGCTCGAGAAGGTGTTATATATACATGGCGCTCAAGAGAATCAGTCGAATGGAGAGTTCACTTGCCGTGAGTCAATTCCTGAACGACTGGACGGAACGCCCCTCGAATTTGTACTTTGGGGCTCAACTAATCTATGAATGCGCTCAAGACTTGGGAGCGTGTTGGCTAGCAAGCAACGTGTCGCCTGCAGTGCGCCACACCAAAGGGACAACTGTTATGACACGTCGCCATCTGCAGGAGATTGTTGTATTTTAACAGCTGTTGTTTCGGTCTTACAGGGCAGCCGGTAATAGCGAGTTCAGTTTCACTCTCGGCATCGCAAGCGAGCTTTGTATGGCAAGCAACAAACAATCTTAACCACAATCAGTGGCGTAGCCAGACGGTGAAACACAGGTCCTATGCCTCCCTCTCCCCCCAGCCCAAAGTTTTCCACCGCCATGGCATAAAGAGCGAAAAATAACCATTTCACAAGAGGGCTACCACCCTCAACACGAAAAAAATTCTGCCTACGCCCTTGGCCTCAATGATTCATTTCAAAACTTGCGCACACTTTATCCAAAGAGGTTTCTGTTCCGTGTGCATAATTTTCTCCACGCCTCCCACTTTAACGCAAGCCGCAACGGCGATCAGTAATGAATGCACCGAAATGTGGGAAATCTTCGTTAACGTCTCGTTCTTTTCCCAAACCTTTATTTACAACAGCCCAGTGCTAGCCCCTTTCTGAAAAATGAAATCATTAGGGGGTTCTCTCTCTCACACTCGATAATCCATGAATGTCACGTCACCATCATCATCAGTCTGACTGCGCCCACAGCAGGGCAAAGGCCCCTCCCATGAACCGCCAACCAACCCAGTCTTGTGCTTTCTCTTTCCGCTTTATACCTGCAAACGACTTCATATCGTCAGCCCACATAACTTTCTGCCTCCCCCTTTCTTGCCACCTTTGAGATGACTAGCGGTTATCTTGGTTACACTCTACGTGCCCGGCCCATGTCTATTTCTTCTTTTCACCCTGGTTCGTTCCATGACCCACTCTGCTCCCTTCTTGTCTCTTACGGTTACTCGCATCATTTTCTTTTCCATTCTGAAATCATGATTGATAATCTACCACTAGCCCTTAAGAGGAACGTATATAACAGCTGCATAAACGTCACATCAGCACACAAGTAGGTTCACTCGCACAAATAGTGACGGTCGTAGTGACGGTTCGTATAAACGGGGACACGAAACCAACTCGCCGCAGAAACCGATCGCCAAAACTGCTACACCGTTCTGGGCTACCACGCTGCGAGAAAAGCAGGACGCCCTCGAGCGTGACCGAAAGCGCGCGGGTCCAAGTCCCCCACCACTTCTCTCTCTCTCTCTCTCAGTCCCGCGAGATCAGCCACACGCATGGAAGGGCCAGCTGAGGAAAGGGAACTACGCGAGTGAACTCGGGCGTAACGCCCGGGAAATCCGAAACCCTCAATCAGCAGGCGACCGGTACAAGGTGCATGCACATGTATACGCGATCGCAAGGAGGACCACGAGAAAGAATAAATAATGAGAATACATGAAAAAAAGAAGAAAGACAAAGAAATAACGAGTAACGTCCCATGAACTATCTCTATCTCCCTCTCGGCAACAGCTCAAGCGCAAGGAAAGTGGCAAGAAAAGTTGCAGGACCAGCAAGCGGCAACGCACGAAGCTTGCAGCAGCAAGTAAATCTCGGGTCGCGAAAGCGCGCGGACTCGACACCCCATGCACGCGCAGAGCCAGTCGCGTGCCTCTCTTGTATCGCTTCTGGACGAACAAGTTCCACTCGCCTGCGGGGCAATATCGCGGGCAAAGCGGTAGTAGCACTTCGTATCGTTACTTTAATTCCGCGCAGGGAAGGCAGGTCTTGTAAATTGCGGGTCCCCTCCCACGAGGAGGGACAGCCCGACGCAACCGCGGCCGAAGCAGATCGCGGGAAAGGACTCCCGCCCTCCTTTCCCTTGCTTCGGAAGGATAAACAAAAAAAAGGGAAATTACAAAACAGCAGGGCATCTAGCGTGGACCTCGACGCAACTTTCGTCCGCGCGGACGCTGGAGCAGGGTCGCAACTACGCACGATACGCGCCACGCAGCTCTCTCATCGTGCGCCCTTCTCTCCCGAGCATCCCGCGTTCATCTTTCCACTCCAAAATGACGTCACGAAGCACTCTCCTTCGCCCTCTCCTTGCGGTGGTACGGCGCTCCTTCCTTCCTTCTCCGCTGCCGTGTTTGTAAACACACACACAGCGAGCGCGGCCCCCGGCGAGTACCGAATCGCCCCAAGAAGGAGAGGATGCCGCGGGAAGAAGAAATAAAGAGAAGCGCAACGGAAAAGCCAGCTCCATTCACGAAAAAGATTTTCCTCCTCGTCGAAGAAAAGGTGCTCACGCAAGGCGAAGGAGCCGCGGGAGAGGAGGCGCTCCCCACCAGCGCCCCTCCTCCTCCTCCTCTGCACGTCAGCGGCGGGGAAGGAAGCGGCGAGCAAGCAGGCAGGCCTAGTCGATGCCAAGGCCCCGGCACTCACGCAGCAGCTCAATGAAGTCGCAGGAGGAGCCACCACGGCCGCTATGAGACTGCTGCCGCTGACGGACCGGGATCAGGCCGAAGCGCTGGGCTCGTCGAGGACGGCTCCCGCCACCACGCTGGTCCTGCTGGCCGCGCTGCTCGCTGCGCCGCCCGCGCTGAGCAGTGGGGCCCGCGTCGAGAGACTCTTCTACCAGAGCGGGGTGAGTAGCGTGCACCTGCTGCCGCGCCTCCATACTTCCTAGCATGCCCGCCCTCCCGAGGTGTACCCTCCCGAGCAGTCCCCCGACACCGTCCACGCTCTTTCTAGAACTTCCTACGGGACTCTCGGACATTTTCAGAGCAGGGTCGGCGCTCGGGAAGGGAACACCCGAGTGTGCCACACGCTCGCTGGCAGGATGCAGTCCAATCGGTAGGAGCAGAGCCCTCTTACATTACTGAAGGGCAGCACGCGTTTATTGAAGATTAATTAGCGACGCCACACTTCAGCATGTGGATGCTGAGACAGAAGCAAACATCAAGGGGGCGGACACAGGCGGTGCACATAGTAGAGGAATAAGTAAACACGCGCATGCAGCAGCGCTGTTTCACTGCTATGTCAATTGAAAACGGCATTCGTTGTATGCTCGCCTTTGGGGACGAGAAAACAGCTTCGTCGGCCGTGATGCTTGCGGATGAGCTCCCATGATCACTCACGAGATAGGGGTGCCAGAGATCGGGAGAGCCCTGCCTGCCGCCTTGACAAGTGGCGGAGGCCCTCGAGAAGCTACGCGGGAGTTTCATCGGCAGTGATTGCGGGTAAGCTCTCCTGATCACTCACGAGATAGAGCCGCTATCGTCGGGAGAGCCCTGCCGCCTTGACAAGTGGCGGCCCTTGAGAAGCTACGCGGGCGTGTCAATAGCGAAGAGATAAGATTGACGCCAAGAAAGAGGGACTCCTCCCCCTCCCTCACGACGTTGAAAATTCATTGACAAGCCACGGTCGCCGCTGCTACCGACGGCGTCCTGCACTTGCGTCTGCCTGCCTCTCCCCCCACGCGTTTTATCGTGGAACCAGCGTGATCGTAACGTTTCAGGTTCGCTGACAGGACAGAGGAGAACTCGTGTCACGTGAAACGCTGTTTACGGCATATGCAGTGACGGGTACGCTTCTTTCCGGTTTTCGGTGCTCCGTGAGACGCTTTTGCGTTTTTTTTATGTTACTGCTCACACAACAAGCCCATGCGACATAATACTACCGCAAGATGAGACGTTCGATGACACTCTGCCAGGGCAAAGCGCGGCGCCGGCTGTCGCACACCGGTCACCGTGTTCTGGCGCGACTGGTCTGCCTCGAAAAACAAGCGCTTGTATTTCGGCGTTCGATTTCCTGCGCAAGGCATTGCTGCAGGGCGCGAGGTAACGTGAGCGACTGTCTCGTGCGCATCGCGTGTTCAGGTGTGCGCAACGAAGACCCTGGATTCACCTGTCCTTGGGAAGGCCGAAAGCTGCCTGACAAAAAAACAACAACAACAACGAGTGTATTCGTTTAGGTTAGCTCAGAGAGTCCCCCTCTCTAGGAAAACAGAATCGTCTTTTTGTCACGTGAGCAGGAGCTGGGAAATCATAAACGACAACCGCGACTAAAGTTACGAAACGACTCTCTTGAAGGCAATGAAAGACACGCAAGCGAAAAAAAGAAAGAAAGACATAAATGAGAACGCGCGGCTACCGATAACGCCCACAAGACTGACGCAATTCTCTCTCCAGAACACGAAATCGCTTCTGCGCTACACTGCTTCACATCCACGCCTCACTCTGTCCATTCATGCGACAGGGAGAGTCGACTGGTAAAAGCGCGCTTGTCGTTTACTCCCAAGAAGGGGCATCGCACAAAACAGAAACGAAAGCTGCAGTGGAACCGCGCGGGGCGTAAAGCGAAGTAAGAGGGAGGAAGCATATATCCTAAACGACCTTCGCAGGCCGTGCCGCCGTAAAGGTCGCCACCGAAAACAAATCAGCAGAGGGCCTTTTCTGCTGCCACCACGGCAGCTACGGATCGTCGCTCGTTCCAGAGAGATAGATCGTCGTACCGAGTCTGGTTCTTTCGCCGGCGACTCACACTCCGGAAGCAACAGGTGTCGCTCCGAAGGCGTCTTCGCGCAGCTCCAAAATGTCAGCCCCCTCGTTCCACTCTCGGTCCTTTTCCACCGTGTTACGACGGGGCGCCGAGCCGTCGCCGCCTCCGGTCCGTCACCTTGGCGCGCCGCATACACTCGACGACGCCAACGGGTCCGAGAAAAGGCCGAGCGACGCCCGCTCTTGCAAGCCACGGCCGCCGGAGCACATGCGTGACATAACCTATCCACGGGGGTGGGGGGTGATTTTAAATGAAAAGAAAAGTGAGCCCCGTAACTGTCTGTATCAGAGTGCGACACCTCAACTGTAGCTCACGAGGGGTGGGGGTAAAGGAGGGATTAAAATGATAGGATTAAAAGGGAGAGGGAGAAGAAGGAGAGCGCGAGGCGCAGGGACAGCGAACGACGGAAGCAAGGAGAAGATGGGAAAGATGGACACGGTCGCAGGAGTTCGAGGACGAGGCACCACTCGGCGAGAGCTCTTGTCGGCGTCAGGAGATGGCTTTAGGGCGAGCCCAGAGCCGCGCTGTCGTCGGAGATCGCGGGGGCACGACCGGTCGGCACGAAATCCAGCGAGCGAGTCCTAACCTATGGAAGTCACTGAAACCGCCGTACACGCATTTGGGCATGCGACGTCCGCGATGTCGCATTAGTGTAATGAAAGCATCATATGCAGCTTCCTTTGTTTATGCACGGAGACATTAAAGCAGGTTAACGGCAACTTTTTGTTTTGTTTTGTTATCAAAGCCGCCACAGCGAGGTGCCAGTGCGCTTCAGAAGCTGCGTCCATGACGTCACGGACTGCCGAGCGTACAGCGATCACGGAATGAAACACGAACATTTATGGTTAAAAGGGGGCCATGAGATGGCCAGCCACCAAATAGCGATTTTCAGCAATATACAGACAGAGGTAGAGAGTCTATTCCGCCAGTACATATGTGAGAAATTGACTAATAAAGTGTCACTGCACAATGAGCCCTAGAAGTCACCGGCTATTAGCACCGCCCACCGTCGGCGACCGCCATCATGCGATGGCGTGTGTGACGCCACGAGTTCCTCCGTGGAGTCAGGGCTCGCGAGTACACCAGTGTTGTCAGACCGTAAGGCTGCTCGCGTGTTTACGAAAATGCTTGTAATCAATCAAGTTGTCGACCACATGCGCTGAAACTTTGCCAGCTTGTTATAAAACACCCAAGGACTAACCTCCATGGATAACGCAGATTATGAGCGAAAATTGGGTGTCGTGGCCTCCTCAGGTAATGCGCGCATACTTTCTTTCCCATGCGCGTCTTCAGTTCGCGTCAGATCGACGGTATTTTCACTCGAAAGCTTACATCTGAGGCAACACTACTTTTACCAGCCACACTCGTAGCGACGTGTACGCGGATTTCACGTGGTTAACTTTCAAGTCCGTGAAAACTATAAGAAATGCTATAGCACTCAAGCGTCCAAGCACACCCAGTCCTAAAGTCCAAAAAGTAACTTGCAAAGTGATCGTATGAGACGATTACATTGTATAATTGCTTATAGCAGTCGTTACACTGCAAAAGAATTGATGTTCGGTATGGGCAAACACGTTCGTAATACAATGCAAAAAGCGTGCCTGTTTTCGTATGCTTGAATCATTCGCAATGTTTGCGACCGTATGGTTTGCTTTACTATGCGCTAGCGGCCGTTCGCCAAGATCCCTATCCGAGGCATACCGTCAACCGATCAGTATTGATACGCGTTCGAACGGTGCCAGAGGAAGGAACAGATAAAGTAACAGGGTAATAACAAGGCGCACTAAAACAGCCTTAACTATAAACACGGCGCAGTAAACCTGTCTCCCCCCCCACCCCTCCGAGCGCTCTGTAGTTCGAGAGACAGCCCGCCCTTGAAGTAAAAAACCTCGCGACCGCGCCGCCAGCGTTGGTACTTGTAACTCGACGGGGTAAAGCATAGAGTGTGCGGGTTGTATACGTGCAGCTCCTGGGTCAGAAGACCAAGAGTTCCCGCGGCCTTTCTCCCATCCGAGAATAGAGCCGGGGGTATGCAGTACGAATGTGATCGTAACGTGTAACGATGTACACGTAGGAACCGCGTATGGCGCTGCGCGGGACTGTAAACCTTCTTTTTGGCCGAAAGCCCGTCGTTGTGATAACAATGGGACCGGGAGATCGGCAGGGCCGTAGTATTATAGCTCGACGCTGTGTAAAAGTTTTGTCATACATTTACCGACAGCAGCATCACAACGCCGTTATGGCCGTACGCTTTCCCAACAATTCTAATCGAGAATCGCGTTTAACGACGGCGGCGCGCGTTTTAGTACGTATATACACGTAGCGAGGAAGGCTCTCGTGAAACGTCGTTATGGAGAATAACGCACGATGAGAGTAATGGCACATTGACCTATCATGCAGCGCGAGAGTTCCATGCTTACCAGTGGCCTTTCGCGAGACAGGCCTCAAAATGCCGTTAGCTGTACGCTCGTCAACTATAGCGAGAAACGAAATGCTTGGCGAAAAGATGAATGAATGGGTGGGGCTGTTGCTCCCATTTTCTACTCCTAGCTGGACGCCGCCCCTGAAGCATTACGCGAACATATTATAGACACATTCCATGTTTGTCAACAGAGGTACACGCCGTATAGGCACCGTCAACATACTGAGGCGATTCACCCCAAAGCCGCCCAGCCCAAAGCACCCCCCCCCCCCCCCCCCCCAAATGATCAAGTGACAACTGGGACAACACAGCGTTATAGCTGATCTGCCAGTTAGTTGTCCAGCACTATGTCGACGGCCCCTACCGCTGTTAACAAACATGGAATAGGTCTACAGAACCTGAGCATCAGGTCAAAGATGTACGCCTGCTCCACGCTTGTACAATTTAAAGGGCCACAATAACACTGAACTAACGCGCAAAAATGTCGACGGAATGGCGAATATAAAAACAGCGTGCGAACATTCACAAACTTTCCAATAACGAAAGAAACAGCGCTCCATTCGATTCGGTGCCTGAATCGAGCAGTGCACATCGGAAATACCAAACCATGTTCGAGCACTTGATAAAATGTACCCACCTCAAGAACCTTTTATGACAAACAA